TTCTCAAATCCGCACGAGTGCCGCACTCTGCCGCAGTGGTGACATGTACTCGGAACTGCCCTGCAAGCTTGCACATGAATAGCTTGGCTCATATACTGCAGTTGTTTTCTTTACAATACCTTCGCGTCTTCTAAATTCTGGCCAGTGTTGCATTGAAATGCAAGCGGTACATTAGCTGCATTAGAAGCATGCGACTGTCGAGCAGAGTGCCAGATTTCGATGCTGACATCTGTGTACACGTCTTTCCGCCACAGGTGGTCGTGTAGGCACTGCACGGGGAAAGAGAACGATACATAAAAAACAAGACGTGCCTGCAGATTTGTGCTGGTATATCATTTTTCAGTCCTACATTTCTTTTTTTTTTTTCTGTGCAGTGTGATAAAAATACCATCACCTTCATTTCAATACATATGTACAATATCTGCATAAATGATGAGCCCCATTCTGCACTGCTAAGATGCCCCATTTAGCACAGTGCAGATTGTAAGCAGAGCAATGTTGTACAGGCCTAACTTCTGAACAAGAAAGCTAGGGGCACGAACCCTTCAGGTGCCAGCAGGACATTCGCTTACAATATGCGCATTCGGAAGAATTCACTGTTATCAAATCTGTCACACACGCAATGATCCAAATCGAGAAAGCCTCTATTTAGATCAGGCGCTGCTATGCAGACAGCTTGGACTAGAATTTGCTTCATGAGGTGGCATTCGGCAATGGTCAAATGCTACAGTAGCAATTAAACACATCAATAATTCAGGATATGGATAAAAGTATTACTCAAACCAGAATCAAAATAAAGCGCCCGTGTTACACGGTCACTTTTGTTGGCGATCAAGACTGGCTCCGATAAACATTTTTTGAAGCGCTATCGTGAGCTGCAGCTGCAACAGGGAGATCACGGACTACTGAGTCTCAGATCAAGCAAAACTACTATGAACAGTGTCCACGTAACAGCTCACGATCCACGCGTTCCATAGATTTGTAGTGAGCTTCGCAGAAGCGAGGCAACACATTGAGCTAATCAAGGCTGCAGTAGTGCGAGCTCACTAACTATGCGCTGCTGTGGCGCGTGAATAATCTTAAGGCCTTGCCTCTTTTTTTTTTTTTTTCCACGAATGCAACTCGTGGTGGCAGCGAGGGCCCCTCAGGTGCAAAAGCACTGACAGAAACGCATCGCTGTTCAGTCGCACACAATTAATCGTCAATTCCAAAAACTTTCTCGCAAATTTGAAGTCCTTTCTTTTAATACAGCGACGCCTTTTGCAGCCATCTTCCGATCCCTAAAAACTTGTGAAAGCAATCGGATCGCAACCAAAAGTGCTGCGGTAGCCATAAGTCGCGCAGTAACTCGGCATCGCGAGTCCATCTTGACCCTGCACAAATACAACTGGCGAATGCCAGATGGCAAGAATCTCCAATCAAAGAAGACAACGGCACAATGCCAAGCAATCACTACAAACTGTCAGAACTGATGCTTCGCTACACAGCAGATCACAGCAGAAACAAGGCACAATCACAAAGTAAACAAGCTGAGCTGACTGAGCCTCACAGGCGGCCCTGCGGCTCGATCCTTACAATGACGTCACCTCCCCACGTGTATTTCCCCGTTACGTCCCCAGATTCGCATGCGCAAGAAGCGGGTTCCCTCGGTTTGCTCGCTTCTAACGCCATTGTTTAATTTTTTTTAAATGCAAAAAACGTAGGATGAGGTCGCAAATACCGAAAATGAGGTCGCAAATACCGAACTTGCAACAAATTTGCAAATGCAAAACCTCTTCAGTGTCCCTGAAAAGAAGAAAATTCATGCGAGCCTGTTATGTATTATGCTTAGCAAGCAACTGCTTCATTTTTTGCATGAGTATGCTTCGACACGATTATTGGCCGATTTACAGCTCCAGTCACGAAACAAAATCCAGTTTGACACTAGAACTGTTACTCTAGAAATTAAGGATAAGGAAAACGTACCCTACATTTAGAACTTGTTTTCACGCCACATAATTGAAGCACACATCAAAACTAATTTTAACTCAGTGTATCGCCGATACCACGCATCGCAAATGTCACATTATTTCTCCTTGATTCCTGCACACCTATGGCAGCAGAAAATCATAGCGCTGGTGGTGACACACAGCAGCATGTGTCCGGTGTATACCTATGTGTTCTTTTCAAGCACCCTTCTTTCTGCTACAGCGACATGCTAAAATCAGGCTGCTTGACGTTATTCATGCGATACTTAGGTTTGTTGCTATCACACTCGTTCCTGTGCCATAGCGACGAAACTGCTTTTTTTTTTTTCGGAATGCCACCTATATTAGCTGTCAACCTGTATCTGAAACCAAAAAAAGCTTGAACAAAGCTAGTAAATGTATCAAGCTAATGGAGCTCTACTTTCGCACCAGCAACTAAGTGCACACAACATGTAATTTACCAGCTTCAGAGGTACTTTATATATGTGCACTTGCAGTACATTGACACCATAAAAATAAAAGCGACAATAGAAATATTACCTCTGGAAAATTGTTCAGAGACTACGATGAGTGCTGCAGCTACGATGACTACGATGAGTGCTGCGCAAAGGCTTCAGTACAGAATATGCTCTCATGGCACAGAAAGAGTACATTTATCAGCAATTCGAACAGGGAAACGTTGTGTTGGGGTTGTTCGTAGATTTTACGAAAGCTTTTGACCACATTAACCACAAATTACTTATAGAAAAACTGGAACGGTACGGTATTCGGGGAACGGCGGGATCATTAATACAGTCTTATTTGCAACACCGTAATCAGATTGTTAGCCTGGGTGGTTGCAATTCCGATTCTTTGTCAATCGTTGCAGGAGTTCCACAGGGAAGCATTTTGGGACCTTTCCTCTTCAATATTTACAATAATGATATCGTGAACATCTCCTCTGACGTAAAATTTATAATATGCAGATGATACGAATATATTTTTAACAGGAAAATCAGTGAACGAATTAATAACATGCAAATCTACTGCTCATTAGATTAGAAAAATGGACAAGAGAAAACGGTCTAAAAATAAATGTAGCAAAGACTAAGGCTATGGTATTTCATGCTAAAAATAAGCGGAAATTGTAAAACAAACGATCTTTTTAAATTCCACCCCTGTCGAGATAGTTCCTTCTCTTAAAATATTAGGAGTAATATTTCAAGAAACATTATCATGGGATCACCACATACACTTCTTAGCTACGAAGGTCTCTCAGGTAGTCGGTCTTGTGTACCGAAACAAGCACTTGCTTCATCGGAATATTTTGTTGTTAATTTACAATACCTTATTTTTATCAAGAATCAATTACTGCCATCTAGTTTGGGCTCTAACTTCTAAAGAAAACATAAACAAACTTCATATGTTGCAAAAAAGGTTTGTACGGGCGGTAGAGAACGTGCCACGTACTTATCATACTCGTTCCTTATTTGAAAAATACAACCTAATGCCAGTAATAAAAATGTATGATTTTCTTCTGTCCAAGAAATATAAGCAAGACATAAAAAACTCTAATCCGTTTCTAAAGCAGTTGGCAGATTTAATACTTAACCAGCCTAAGTATAATACCCGGAAAATGAAGTGTGGACTGTTCGAACCTTTAGAACCACATACGGTCTTCAATCGTCGGAAATAAACTTCCAAGGTTACTAAATGAACTTAGGGATAACGAAATTGACTTAGAAAAAATCACCTTTAAACAACTGCGGAATCATTTCCTCCAGATGTCATGATCACTCGTTTCTGTTACTTGTAATTTCTAAAGAATGTATTTTGTATTTTGTTTTTGTTGACGTGTATTTTGTATACTGCTTTGTGTTTTTTTTACGATATGTTTTTTGGTGGCTTCTTTGTTTTTTCTGTTTTAGGAAACGAGTATGCATTTGTGGTGTTGCCAAAGCAATAAATTAGGCATATTTCTTTTATGACTTTTTTTTCTGTGTTTTGCAAGGCAAATGCGCCTTTATTTCACATTGCGAAATTATTTGTTTATAGCATTATATTACCAATATGTTACACCTGTACAGTGTTGATTGCTCATTTTTGTCGTATACATGTTTGTATGCTTCGCTCGGATGTATTACGCAAATGCTTCCTTTTTTTTAAGGCAAATACGCCAACATTTTTTGCATCTTTTGAAATAGATTTTTTGTCGTTGTTGTTTAAGCATTAGACGTTTCGTTTTATCCCACATGTACAGTGATGATTCTTTCTTGTCATAGACCTGTTTATTTTACGCGTATGATCCCGAATGTTTTTATGAAAGTGTTACCGCTGCTGCGATTGTTCGGGGGGGGGGGGGGGGGGGGCTTGCGGCCTTGTCAAGCTGGCATCACGCCAGCTTTTTCTGCAGGTCTCCTGCATCATGTATCGTTGATGCGAAATAAAGTCATTATATTATTATATTATCATTAGCTCAGCCATTCAAACTGGACACACCGGCACACTCTGTAAGGATCTTATATTGAGTGATGAAGCCAAGATAAGAACTGCATCACCCACAGAACCACGCTGCTGTACCAGATTCCGCTGACAACTGTTGAGAAATCACAAAGGCCATGCCCGCCCTTGCAGAAAAACTAGCATGTACATGGGTTTTGGCCATGCTTATAGCAATTAAAGCCGTGGTTATTGCAAATTGAGATGAGTCATGTTCCTTTTTTTTTTTCACGAAATATGGGTAGACCTCAATTGGAATACTCAAAATTAGAATAGAGCAGAATATGTCGAGTGAATACATCACGCTTGACGTAGTTTTCTTGGCCTATTCAGTTTCCCTTCAACGAGCCACAATCTCAACACAGCCAAGCATGTACAGTGCTCATAATTCAAACAAGACATTTTGTTCACTGCTGGTATGCTCAACTGCTCAAGATAACCCCTCATGTTGCGTTGAATTCGGTCTCTAGAGTATTGTCGGCTCTGACCTACAAGCATCGAGGAGAAATCACGCCGATGTGTCCCTGGCTGAAGATAGAGACAAAAGTATGTGCACTACTCATACAAAAAAAGAAAAAAACACTCACTCGCATGCTCTTCAAGCCACCGCAGGACGCCCTCGGCCTGGGGCATGTGGTGGGGCATGCAGAAGAAGGGCGGCAGAACCGGATCGTCCTGGGGAGTCTGAGATAGGCCATTAGGTCTTGGACAACAGCCCAGTAGTTGGTTGTGCCCAACTCGAAACCGGTGATAGGTATCCCGTGAGTGTCTTCACCTAAGAACAATGGAAGAAAACAGAACAAATAAAGGGTTCTAAAGTAGACCTGTCGCCGGTAACAAAATTGCCAACAGCGGTGCGCCGGTAACAAAATTGTTAACAGCGGCGCGCCGGTGTTTTCGCCTTCGGCAGCGGCACATCAATGGCGCAGAGTTCATCAGTTCGACGCCGGCATGGCACGAGGGGGGGGGGGGGAGGGGGGATATTAAGGTTCAAGAATTGGTGGGCATAAAAATTTGTCCCTAGAATTTTGAAAAAAAAAAAAAAAAAAAAAAGAAGATGTTTTCTGAAAAGGCGAAGCAGTTATCGTGGGAGCAGAATGTCTTAATTATTCTAATTCATTTTTTTACAAAGGCAAGACTGATATCCCAGTTTTCCAGACATAGTAGGTGTAAATACAAATGCTCAGCACCTTGAAAAAATGCAATTTACCAAAACACACGTTTACGCAATTCTTTTTTCCAATTTCTCTGCACAGAGTCTATGCAGATACCCATCAAGCTCCTTTTAAAAGTGGATGTGCTACAGAGAAGCCAAAAAAAAAAAACAAATATGAAACGAAAACAATTTTGAATTGATCAAACAGGCACAATATTTAGAGGATCAAATCACCGTATATGGTGTGAAGGAAATGCAACGAACGATATGGGTGCTAGTCTCTTGAGCCCGTGTAAACTATCTTATTTATGCAGGAGGATGACACTATCGCAAGTGCAACATTGTTCGAAAGGGGCTGCAGCGATAAAACATGCGCATGTGAAGTAGGCAAGAAACACTGGTCATAGCACCGAAGTATAAGCACTATTGCTTGTTTTTAAACAGATTCTAGCATAGTTATGTTATGTTGCGGTGAGACCACCAAAAACCAGCGCACACTCGATTTGATTGATAGTCAACGTGTGGCGCTAACCACTACCCCACAATGCGTGCATAGCCTAGAGTGCTAACGGCATACACTGTTCGGCAGTCCTCATACCTTCAAAGCTTTAGCACATTTTTTTTATCTGTGGCGAGATGGCACTACGGCTCGCATTGGGCGCGCCCTAAAGGTCGGCGCCTCCACGAAGCACTGCCAACACGAAGCCTGGTCTCTCCTGGGCGCCCGCTTATGAGACTTGTTCCTGTGTATACTTGTGCGCTCTTTTCGTGCGTCTTTTCGTTTTAACAGTGCACTTAAGTGCCAAGCTGTGATAGTTGTTAGTCCGCAATCGCCCTGTGAGCGCTAATTTTGTGCGTGATTTCTGCTTGAGGAGTGCACTGCAAGTTTCGAGCTGCTTTCCATTCTTAACATGACTGCAATTTATTGCTGTTGCTGAAACAATGCACAATAAACACCCAACTACCTCTGTAAAGACACGTTTCACTTTCGTGTTATACCGATTCCTATGTAGGGGTATCAGCCATGTTTTTTTGTAAGAATTCCGACCTCCTCCTCAATGCAACATTTCTTTTTCTGTTTTTCATCCTCCTGCTCCTGTCTTTTCTGGTTGTCCAGAAATGCACAGTGCTGGTTCAGTGCATAAACTATTGATGTTCTCAATTCTTTTGTGATGGACACATGACATATGCCAGCTGCTACATTTACTATCCCACAAATAATGTGCTAAGAAATATGCAACAATATTTTTAAAAAGAAGAAAAATTCAAAGATTTTCTAGGGTTTGCAAAAATTCCAGCACTTTCAAGGCCTTGGATAGGAACCTTTCGAATTCAAGGGTCTTCAAGGATTTCAAGGACCCACATGAACCCTGCCAGTGTTTTAGCCCCATCCACCCTGAGGGACACTAAAGCCCATCAAGCACAGCCTACCAGTATTCGTAATTGCATCCAATTTACGTGACATTATTCCAAGAGACATGATATTCTATTGCAAGAGAAATAATGCCACAATACATAGACTGTCATATTTTTCCTTAATTCATCTTGATGAAACTCGACTAAAGATATCCAATTATGAGATAGTCATCGACGATCTGTTAATGCATGAGTAGAATGAAATTTCAGGCTGGAAATGTTCAGCAGTTTCATTTTCAGTAGCATTCATTTAGAGCAAACAAAACATTTCAGATATGGCTCACAAAAAGCAGCATGTTGAATGACTAGTCAAACATCGTAGTGTCCTCGGCAAAGTGATGATATCGAGCAATATGCACCAAATAAGCTAACTGAACAAGCACTCACTGATTATGCAGGCGGTTCAATTCATCCAAAGCTCGTGGTATCTTCTTAGCCACTAGTCAGCACAACTATACTGGGAGACAACTTTTCTAGGCACTGCTGTGGAGCCTACAGAACTCTAACGCATTCCCGCTAGCACGTTAAGAAATGTAGCACAATTTTAGTTTTTAAATTATCTTGCTCAAATAAGCACTGCTCTATTATGAGACAAACGGTTCGGGGAACAGGACGCAAAGCAAATTATTTATTTTACAGAAAGTTGTTCATTGTTTATTTAATTTTTTGCATTTCTAAAAACCACATTTGCTGCATGCCTACCCTCTGCAGTAAACAGGGTACCTCTGATGTCAGTTGGTCCGCGAGCACCCCCAAGCTCGACATCCGATCCTCAAAGAACAATATACTCGAAATGTGACATTGAAGTTTATAGTAAGCAAGCTCAACTTGAATGCTCCGCGGCGTGTTCTAAAACAGCTAGGCTAATGAATCCACCACGTAGCTTTGCGTTCTTTTGCAGAGATGTTACCAATGCAAGTCAATATACTGTCCATGCATACCTAGGTATTCTATTGGCAACAGCGTCCAGCGCTTCAGCCAAACCAGTGCACATGTAATGGAGCTCTCGAGTAAAGTTTGCGGACTGTAAACCGAACAATAGAAATGTCTCTTTACCATTCACGTTTTTTTCTAAGTGCATTAAAATCAAAATTGGAATTGAAGTCCGTCCACTGCCAGCTACTGTACTACTATCAGAGTAACCTGAATGTGTAGAAGCCCTGCCTTCGTAGCCTTCACTGCACTGCCACAATTAGCTATCTGAAATAGCAAAAGCAGGTATGTATAGACATGTACTATCGGCATCAAATGAAACACAAACAGCGAAGAGCGTGGCCCAAACATTAGCAACTGTATAGCGCGCTTTGTCCAGTCATTACCACTGCCCCATGCACACATCCGGTTTGGCAGCACAGTGCAATGTCTCTGCAATGCAATAATTTTGCTTGCACTTTAGTTCCGATATGATGCCGATAGGGGCCGATATCGGCCGACGTGGGCACACCAAAAACTTTTGCTCGTTTCAACTTTAAGTTTCTTCTTTCCATTGCCTCCGTATCGAACAACAGAACTAGAATAGAGGTGAAAATATCAGACTCTGGAGGAATCGCACAGTGCTGCCAGACTGGATGTGTGGAGCGTACCAGTAGTCTAGGGGTGATTACTGGAGGGTGCACACTACATCTTCTGTAACGCTTGCGGCACACGCTCGGCTGTTCATGTTTCATTCGACACTAGCTGTACAAAACTCCTGAAAGAGTTAATGGAAAAAGCAGAACATTACTAGTTTAAGAGTTACGAAGAAGACGGTCATTACTTGTGAGGTTACCTGCTGCATCATTTCCGAAATGCCTCATCCTTTTTGCCAGTTTTCACGCCCATGAAACATTTATGAATAAGGCAGAAGCATTAGTGCATCATTTCAGACTACTAACATGTTATTTCAGAAGAATTCTTTCATTGTCAACTCAAACATCACAAGGATGATGGGGCACTTACTGTGGTCTTTCGCAGCACTGGCAAAACCAAGTGGTATGCGACCTGAGAATGAGTTACAGGCAATTAATATTCAAAATAGTAATCAACTGTCTCGTGGAAATGAAAAAAAAGCAAACTTCATACCTGGGTTAATGAACTTATGATATGCACGGATGAATCCTTGTTCGATTGAATATTCAATGAGTCCGATTTCCAAAGGATAATATACTCCATTCGCCTCGCAAAGGATGTTTGTGGCCAGGATGTAAAACGGAAATTTCTTTATTTCTAGAAGGCAAAAAAAAAAGGAGCAAGTCACTGAGGGGTTAAGTTGTCCAAATTATAGTCTAGCAAAAAAGGACAGAAAATATCAGTAACAGTGACAAAGCTGCTACTATAAGGTGCACTGACGGAACAAGATATGTCGCAAGACGATGCATACCATCGACGGTTCCGATATCATCCACATATCTTTGGATACTGGCGACCATCTCTTTTCTTTGGTTTATCTCTTCACTTTGTTCCCTTAATACGCTCTGAAAACAATACACCTGCTTAATTAAATCAGAATGCAAACATCACCTGCACAAGCAAAACAAGGTTTGTCAATAGCCCCTTATGGCAATTAAAAAAAGCGAATCGTACTCTGCTAGTGTGGCACGATGTCAATTGTGGGACCATACGCAGCCCGCCAGTTAAGATGCTGTGAACAGAGTAGGCAACATGACTGCACGTAATCGTAATGCAGGTTCAGCCTTCGCTTATCTTTTCCTGAAAGAAGGCGACCAAAGCGGCCGGATGACACCCTTGGGAAGGCTGGATTGACACTGTGCGTGCACACTAAAATCGCTAGACCAAGGAAAAAGAACAAATTTGGTGCAGTAAAGAAACAACCAGAAACACTTAGCTCACGAAAAAAGGTTCTCCCTGACAACTACACAACTCTTGCATTGAAAACATATCTCGTTCAGCTGATTCACATAAAAAACAGCGCCAATAACGAGGGACAAGAAAAGAAGGAGACAGACAGCGGCACTGACTTACAATATTTATTTGCTAGAACCGCACAATATATACTTGGGCAGTATCTGACAAAAACAGAAAAATAGAAAACAGGATTTACCTAACAACCACGTAATCATCGTCATAACGCACCATGAACAACACGTGTGCTAACATTCTGAAGAAAATATGTTTTTTTTTTGTGATAGCGCAATCGAAAGCCTGCCGACACATGCACTGTCCAGCCTTTCTATTTCTGCAGCCGCATAAATTTTAAGTATCATCTGGTCCCGATGATGCCTAATGACGACGGTACAATGTTTAAAATCGGGGACACAACCGCAGTCTTCGCAATGAATGCCGTGGTGGCCTGAACTGTAGAGGAGACGTCGTGAGCGTGCTCTTTCAGCCGCTCATTTAAGCACCCGCCTGTTTGGCCGATGAACCACTTGCCGCAGGACAGGGGTAGAGAGTACACCACCCCTTCGATGCATGGAACGTACTTTTTCTGATGCTTGATTTTGCAGCCTCGCTCTCCCCTGGAACCAGGATTCACGACCCTGCAGAACTTAGCCAGCTTTTCTGGGGCAGAAAAAAACAGGTCTACGTCGCACCTGCTGGCCACTTTTTTGAGGTTGTGGGCGACGCCGTGGATATAGGGAATAACGAAGAAGTTTCGTTTCCCCGTCCCTTATCCTTTGTATGGGTTAAAGCATTATTCTCTGGGCTCATTCTGATTTCTCAGAGTAGACACTCAGCAACGGTGGTCAAAATGTACATTGGGAAACCAGCTTCGGGAATGAGCCCAGAGAATGATGCTTGAACCCGTACAAAGGATAAGGGACAGGAGCAACGAAACTTGTCGTTTTTCCCTATATCCACGGCGTCACCCACAACCTCAAAAAAGTGGCCAGCAGGTGCGACGTAGACCTGGTCTTTTCTGCCCCAGAAAAGATGGCTAGGTTGTGCAGGGCCGTGAATCCTGGTTCCAAGGGAGAGCGAGGCTGCAAAATCAAGCATCGGAAGAAGTACGTTCCGTGCATTGAAGGGGTGGTGTACTCTCTACCCCTGTCCTGCGGCAAATGGCACATCGGCCATACAGGCAGTGTTTAAATGAGCGGCTGAAAGAGCACGCTCACAACGTCTCCTCCACAGTTTCGGGCCACCTAGGCATTCATTGCCGAGACTGCGGTTGTGTCCCCGATTTTCAGCATTGTACCGTCATTAGGCGTCATCGGGACCAGATGACACATGAAATTTATGAAGCTGCAGAAATAGAAAGGCTGGGCAGTACATGTGTCAGCAGACCTTCGATTGCGCTATCACAAAAAGAAATAGATTTTCTTCGGAACGTTAGCACAAGTGTGCTCCATGGTGCGTTATGACGATGATTACGCGGTTGTTAGGTGAATTCTGTTTTCTTTGTATTGTATTTTTCTCTTTTGTGTCAAATACTGTTTTAGAATATACTGTGCGGTTCTTGCAAATAAATCTTGTTGTAAGTCAGTGCCGTTGTCTGTCTCCTTCTTTTCTTGTCTCTCGTTATTGGTGCTGTTTTTTATGTGAATCATGTCGTAACAACTTGCCCAAGCGACCACGTTAGCTTCATTCAGCTGACGGCACTACATGCGTAGCAACTCCTCGCGTGATGAAATGAATGAGACACATAAAAAGAAGCATGTCAGCATGTTCACTCACCGCAATGGTGCGCCCATCGGACGTGAGTTTATTTTCCAGGGATCCAACTTTCATTTCCTTGTGACGATTAGCCAAGGCTTCGTAATGAGCTTTCTGCTGCTCAGTCAACGACTGCAACGTAACGTTCAGTTAGAGTTCGTAAAAGCACAAACGACAGCACTGAATAGTGGAGCAGTAACGAGGCATTCACACCAGAAGACTTCTCCAGCCGTACGGAAAATATAAAGAACCACAGCAACGCATGACGAGCGTAGAACCTCCGCGTCACATTGGAAACCGCTGGTGACAGAAAAGAACGCGGCGAGGCCCACGCTCGAGCCAAGCGCAACGTCGTTGACAGCGCCATTTTGTTTGACGCGCAATAAACAAAAACCTTCGTGTGCACAATGTCACGAACGGGACATATAGAAAACGCGAAATACGAAATATATAAAAAAATATATGTAGAAAACGCGTATGGAGAAAGTGCCGGCATACCTTCCACCTTTCTCCGGCCTCTTCTCTGACTGCGTCTAAGGAGAAGGGCAGGTTCCGTTCTCGACGCTCCTTCTGAAGTTCTAGCAACAGAAAGTAGAACGGTCCTTTTTTCTTAGGAGCCATTGCGAGATATTAAGAGCACGTGCAGCACGAGCTACAGCAGACCCGACAGCCCGTGGATTCCCGCAATGCGAAGGCGCCAGAAATATTAAAAAGACACAGCCCCCTAGATTTCCCTTGCCTGCCGGATGAGCGTGAAACGCCCGTCATTATGGCGGCGCTGCCTACGTATAACTGTAGGCGAAGGGGTAGACAAAGTATGCAGAGCGTGTGTAGAGGAAGAAGAAAATGCCGAACACTTGATAATGTTCTGTAAAGGGCTTCACCCTATAGTTCAGGATGATGGCGCAGAGTTTTTCAAAGCACTGGGGTTTAGGGACAGGGAGGGCAAAATAGACTTTAAGCGGCTAGACTTAACTGGAAGGAGGTTATATGATTTGTGGCTAGAGTCAAGGCACGAGTGAAAATTAAACCCTTCACTGCAAAGTATGAAACCTCAATTTCACTATTTAAAGGGAAAAAAAGATAAATCTAATAAATAATTCACTAAGTATTACGGCTAGGAGGCGTTAGCCGCCGCCTGATGTTAAGGGTACAGCCACGTTTATCTATCTATTTTAGTTTTTGCACGCTCCGTCTGTTTTGCAAGGTCGGTTGGTGCAGAAGCAGCGCGCAACAAGAGATAAGTTTTTTTAATTTTTTTTGTTTGTGAACATCAATCATTAATTAGTCATTAATCATCAATTGTGAGTATTGTAGGTGTGGGACACTGGCAACGTTGTAGTAACGTTGACCACGTGAACGGGGTAGGCGGCTGTTTTGAAGAAGTTCGGGACGCCCGGTTAGTTGTTAAACAGCTAGAGCCGAACACGAAGGGGACCTAGTGAGAGCCTGCTAGCGAAATTGAACACGTATGTGTGCGGTGTAGGCGGCAGCTTCAAACAGTTGTTGAGGTAGGAGAGTTAACGTAGGCGGCTGGATAACGGGATTAGGGTTAAACGTAGGGCTGTCGGGCGCTTGGTCCGATGGTCGGGCGGGGGGTGGCGAAGGAGGCTAGGAAAACCACGAGCGAGAGTGAGCTGGTGCAGTGCGAAGAATGCAAGCGCTGGTGCTACTTAGATGAGACAAAATCCTCGAGTTTGGTCGACGCGCAGAAGGCGAGCTTCGTGTGCAGGCTGTGCGAGGCACAAGGCGGCTGTGCAGCGCATTGAGGCTAGCATCGAGGGGCTTCAGGGGGAGCTTTGGGCGAAACGGGAGCAGAGGATAGAACTCCAAAACAGCTCGGAGCGTCGCGTGAGCGGGAGGAGGCTACCGCCAGCCTTTTAGAGCAAATGAAGGGCGACCTTCGAAAAGAACGGGAAGGGCGGACCGGGCTCGAGCAGCGGGTAAAGGAGCTGATGGCGCTTTGCCCCGGCCCCGAGCGGTGTGACACGGAAGGCATGGGTAGCGGAGAAGGTGACAGGTGGGAAGGAACTGATGAGAAGGGAGGTCAGGGGGCCGCAGTGTCTGGCCACAGCACGGAGGCCCCGAGAACATACAGCTCGGTGGCGCGGCAGTCTTCGAGCAGGGCAGGAACACAGGACAAACGGCAGAGAGAGAAACAGGTGAAGCAAACAGGGGCGCCATCACAAACAGAAGCCAGCGATTGGAGCGTAGAAGGGTCTTGGTGGTGGGGGACTCTTACGTGGCCGGGGTTAGGGATAGCGTCTTCAAGACAGTGAAGGAAGACGGGAGAGTGAGGGTGGAGGCCCAGTCAGGGAAGGGCATGGTGGATGCACTGGCCAAAAGCTCAGGAGGTGTCGAGGACAGCATGAAGGACGAAAATCTCGTCATTATTCATGCTGGGCTCAATGATGTGTTGAAGGGCAAGGATCAGAACCTTCAAAGACAGTTAAAGAATGGGATGCTGTTATGTCCGGTGTTGTCGTCGCCCATAGACGTACGCGTTGGTCGCGGTAGTCCAAAAAGCTCAGACAGCCTCGAACGGTTAAAAACAAGTTTATTCCTATTCGGATGGAGGCGGCGGCCGAACTGCCGGGGGAAACGACGGTGGCTCGTTTCCGCCGAGTGGGGGAAGGGGAGGAGTCAAAATCTAGAAGCAGTTTCATTAACCGGTCCTTCGCGGGTTCAAAGGCTCGCTCGTGACACAGGGGTGCTTGGAACACAACATCTCCTCCCTCCTTAGCTTGTCGCTTGGAAGCGATCTGGGGGCCGCTGTGGGCGCGTGGACGCTCTGGACGCACTAGGAAAAGAAGCCTCCGCTCGCTGGGTGTCGTTTCTCTTGTGTTCAGGGCCGGCGGGCGGCGGCGCCGATTCATCTGGTGCAAGATGCCAGGCTAAGTGGAACGAAGCTTCCGTCGAGGTGGCTGCTTGAATGGGAGCTTCCCTTGGCAAATTACCTGAACGGCGTAGCTGATTAAGGCGGCGGCGCGTGGCCTTTCCACCAATGTCGACGAGCCATGACCGCAAACCTATGCGTTTGAGTGCCGTCGCCTCAACCCAGCCGGGCTTTCTGTGGAACTGGCGGGCGTATATGCGCTGTCCACTTTCAATTCTCCTGCTATGCGGGAGCTTTTCTTTGTTGACAGTGCTCCGGTAGTCTCCGCAGAGGCGTAGGGTACCGTTCTTCTTTCGGACGACAACGAGTGGTGTCGCCCATTCCGAATGTTGCGTCGGTTCGATGACCCCTTGTTCCTGCAGTCGGTCAAGCTCATTCTCGACTGACGTTCCTAGGGTGAAAGGCACCGACCTAGCTTTCAAAAATTTTGGCGTCGCATCCTCCCGCAGCTCCAGTGTGACTGGAGGTCCGTTGTTCCCTGGTATTTCTTCGGAGAAAACCGCTTTGTACTTATCTTGAAGCTGCTCCACTGACGGATAACTGAGTGTGTGGTGAACTCCGCCAATGACCACTCCAAGGGGGGTGAACCAATTTCGTCCTAAAAGGCTTGATCCAGACCGTGGACGACTAGCAAGTGGAGCTGATGGGTTCTGCCCGTTGTAGTACACGTCCTACGTTGGCACAGCCCAGCAGTGGAAGGGAATGTCCGGACCACGTTCTCAGCTGCGTGTCGTCTTGCTGGAGAGCTGGCGCGTTCTCACGCCAAGTAGCGCGAAAGTGTCCTCGCTGACGAGCGTACATGCTGCTCCGGAATCCACCTCAAACCTGATAGGGCGCTGGTGTACATAATTTCAGTTGTAATCTTCGGTCTCGTTCCGAGGTTCACAACGGCGTTTAAGTCATATAGTGCCGATGACGTTAGTGCTGTTCGGCTTGTATCTTGCGTCTGGCCATCCTGTGCGTCGACACTGTTGTTCCGTTGCACCGAAGTCTTCGGTCCGAGCTGTTTGCGCTTCGAGATGCATGCCCTTTCAATGTGTCCCAGTTTTTGGCAAAAATTGCAGGTCGCTGTCTTGTATCGACATACCTGGGGATCGTGCATGTCGTCGCATCGCCAACAGCGCTGTGTCTTTCTGCTTGATTTCGCCTTGGACGTGGAATGACCTGACTGGTGTGATGCACCGGCTCGACGTTCCGTCGAATATCCCTCTGCTGGTGACCGGCGCTCTCCGCTCGTTGGGCGATATCGTAGGCTTTGGAGAAGGTGAGACCCGTCTCCGCGAACAGGCGTGGTTGTAGGCCTGCGTCACGCAGTCCGCACACAAAACGGGTCACGCAACATGACGTCCAAGGGGAGCACAGTGGTGTTAGCAGGTGTGGCAGTCGATCCTCCCTCCTGCGCAGTAGCTGCAGCTGTCGCGGTCAACGTCCCGAAATTGCAGTCAGCAGCGAGCTTTTTGAGAGCCGCTACGTATTCGGCCACTTTTTCGCCTTCCAGTTGGTCTCGCCGTTGGAAGCGGGCTCGACAGTAGACCTCCGATGGCCTTGGGTCATAGTGCTCTTGTAGCGCTGCTACGATGTCGTCGTAGTCAACGGCTGCTGGAGTGCGTGGCTGAATCAGGGCACAGACTGTGTCGTATGTCTGCTCCCCACACAGCGTTAGCAGGTTGGCCCTCTTCATTGCTGCATCAGTGATGTTAGCCTCGAAGTAAAATTGCAGGCGTCCAAACCACGATGACCATGATGAGCCGTTGAATTCGGGTAGCCGATTTGGGAGCCCGTGCGTAGCCATAGCTTGTAGCTTGTCAATATCGTTGCGTAGCGTTGGTCCAAATCCACTTCCTCGTCGCCACTGTTATGTCCGGTGTTGTCGTCGGCCCATAGACGTACGCGTTGGTCGCGGTAGTCCAAAAAGCTCAGACAGCCTCGAACGGTTAAAAACAAGTTTATTCCGATTCGGATGGAGGCGGCGGCCGAACTGCCGGGGGAAACGACGGTGGCTCGTTTCCGCCGAGCGGGGGAAGGGGAGGAGTCAACATCTGGAAGCAGTTTCAGCAACCCGTCCTTTGCGGGTTCAAAGGCTCGCTCGTGACACAGGGGTGCTTGGAACACAACAGATGCGTAAGCTCCGAGAAGCCTCTGGGAGTTTGCATGTGACCATATGCACAGACCCAGAGGTCTGGGGGCAGTCCTCGTGGGACTGAAAGGAGGGTAGTGGATGCCAACGGTGTGATCAAGGGTAAGAGCCGGCAACTCGGATACAGCGTAATGGAAGTGAACCAAGATGTGTACGAGCCCGGCACTCGCCCCTTTGCACAGGATGGCATTCACTACAGTGGTGTGACGGGCAGGAGGGTTGGTAATAGGATGGGTCGTCAAGCCACAGCTTTTTAGGGGGCCCAGAGCTCTGAGGCCAACTGTGTAGCAAAAGATGGTTCTAAAGGGGCACAAATATTCGAGCCACATGGATTCCGGGGGAGAAGAAATCGACGTAAGCACAAGGGCCGAGCTAAGTCAGACATAGACTATATTAACATGCAGGGTGGCAGGAATAGGTTAAAGTGGGAAGAGATAGAAGAGCAGTTGAGGCAGGAGGAACTGATGGTATATGGGGTTGTGGAGACACATCTTTGGGACATGGAGCAACCACCTTGCAAACCGGACTACGTATGGGAATATTGTAATAGAACAAAAGGCACCAGAAAGGGGGGTGGTATTGGGGCATTCATTCATAAAAGTACAGACTCGCAAAGGGTTAGGCAGAAGTGCAAGGAACATTTATGGCTAAAAGGGAAAGTGGCAGGGACTTGTGGAGGGCAGCAAA